ATAGCGTACACTGTAGGATTCTCAGAGTTGTGGAGGATTCAGAGAGAAGAGGTAGGGTAAGAAGTGCCAGCTAGAGACCAGCAGATGACATAATGGTTACGTTGCTGGACACTGATTTTAGTCTGCTGCGGTTTGAGTTCTGTACCCAGCAGCTTAAAACTGACTCTGGGCACATGAGCGAGCATGCTCAAAATCCTGAGAGGAAAATGAAGGAGAAGGGATTGCAACAGGGCCATCTCCCCTGGGAGGTGATTTCTCACTTTCTGTCTCTCTGACTCTCCAGCAAGTGCATGCGTCCTATAGCAGAAGTCTCTCTTAACAAAAGAAAAAGTCTCAGCTTGAGCAGGGAGGGCAAGATTGGGGGTCTGGGTGCTCTCACTGTGTTGGAGGAGTGCAAAGGGGAGCAGGACAGTGGGAAGAAGCTCTTCAGTGATGCAGCTCTGCCGTGAGAGGAGCAAGTTCCTTGGCCAGCCGGGACCAGGTTAATTTCATTTAGGTTCTGCCCCACACCCGTAAGGGGGTTTCTGGAAGGCAGAAACTGCCTTGTCTGTCCTTCCTGTCTCCCTTAGTCCACTCCTCCTTGGGCTGGCATATGACTTGGCACACAGGTGGTACCCAGAAATTATTTATGGAAACAAGACTGAAAATAGTTTTGACACATCTCACAGGCAGAGTTTGTATGAAACAAACATTTCAGAACAGATTTTGGTTTGGATCTTGATAAGTTCCCATGGCTTGTCAGCATGCTGTTTACATACCCTGTAAGTGAATGTGTATACGTGTGCATGTGTGTGAGTGTGTATATGCATGTATGTGCAAGAGAGATGGGGTTGAAGAAAGAGGAGAGAGAATAGAACATGGACCACCCAGATATCAGCCTCTGTTACTGGGTAGGCAGCAATGGCAGTTGCTGAGGTGACCTTGGAGAAGTGCCATCATTGGCGATGGTGGCAAGTTTATCTGGCGCAAGTGGAATTGAAGGTGCTCCTTCCTATTTGGCTGTGGGATCCGGAGAGGGATGTGGGATGATGACAGAGATCTGGGGACTGTCATGTGCTTAAACTGAAGACCTGGGTGAGGAGAAGGGAGGGTGAGAAGAGGGCAGAGGTGGACACATGGGAAAGGGGCGGAGGAAGCCTGCCTGGGTGATGAGGTAGGAGCTCTGTGCACACGACTTGCTTCTCCCTCAGGGCTTCATTTCCTGTCTGCTTGGTCATTCATGCCCCAGGAATTTGTCAGACAATATTGGTTTGGGTCCCTACTGTCCTTCTGGTTCACTGAGTGTCTCTGGCATGTCAGGACATTCTGAGACTTTAGAGATGATCCAGTCCAATCCCTGTAATTTACAGATGAGGAGACCAGTATTCTCAGAGTGGATGGTGGTGGTCCAAAGATCATCCTACAAGTCACTGGTGGGGTGGGCCTCAGCCCAGGCAGCTGTTCTCCTATCCAGGTCTACCCCAGGGCATTCTTTCTGGAACCCCTAACCAGGACAGCACTAGAACTTTTTCCAGCCTGCAGGTGTCTGTTCCGGACAGGCCGTGTGAGAATGTCTGTCCTCTGGGTCAGTTTCAGAAGGTGTGAGCAAACTGGTAGGGTGATATAGCCCAGATGCCTCTTGGGTTCCTGAAAGTGGGGTTATGTTTAGCAGTGTCTTCAAACTGAAGCTGGGGTCGAGTGGGCTGCAGATGTGCACAGCCCTTTGAAGTAAGAGGAGTCCAATGATGGATCTTCATTTCCTGTTTTGCACAAGGTCAGTTTGCAGCTGGGCCTGCCAAGTCTTTGCCCAAGGCTGGGGAGTTGAGTAGTCCAGGTCTGGTGAGGTCTTATGGGGAAGAGCAGAAGTGGTAGGAACTCCTGGGGCCCTCCCTGCCTAGTGGACCATGCAGTTCCTTGTTGCCCAACCTACCCAGTAAGGATCACCTGGCTCCTTGTTAAGCCTCCCAGGGATTCTTCCCAAGATCTGTTGAGTCAGACTCTCTAGGGGAGGGGCCTGAGGGTCTATAGCTGTACTCGTGGCCTCAGGTGATTCTGATAAAGCTTTGAGGAAGAACTAGTCGAGTGACCACTGATTTAGTCCTGGTATGTCAGGCACCCTGGAGCAATTGAAGATTGGAGCTGGGCCAGCAGGAAGTCTTGTGAGAAACGGACCTGCTTTCGGAGCCCTGAATATTCCTTTCCCTCTCCAGCGGGTATAGCAGGTCTAGGTACTGAAGAGAGCAAAAAGACTAGATTGAGGCTTTGATTTAAAAAGTCTGACCTGTCACTCAATGCCAAAGCTTGCCAGTTCGAGGAGAGAAGGAAGGGCATTTCTGGCAGAGGGAAATTGGCAGTTGGCTTGGTTTATAGGAACTGGGAGGGAGCGAGACTGGGCCGAGTCTGCAGGGCCTTGTTGCCAGGCTAAAGGTTTGGCCTTACCTTGTGCAAGCCTTAGACCTATTGGAGGCTTTTAGTGGGAAAGCAGATATTAGAGCTGTCTCAGAGGAACATGGACTAATGGAAACGGGCCCTGTGTGATGGAACCGTGTCAGCCGCAGAGGGAAGCGGTGTAAGGAGTACTGGGGAAGGGAGAGGAGGTTGCAGCTGGCAAGTCTGTCTCTGCTGTCAGGCAGCAGGAGCAAGGCTTATAGCTGCCTTTTCTCAGGCTGTTTCAGGAGAGTGTATGATTCCTGGGGACAAGGGATACTTTGGGAGCCACAGTAACCAGGGCAGGCCTGGCTGTAGGGGGCAGGTAGAGGGTCCTCATCTGTATGTTTGGGTGAACTTTGAGCTTCTAGTCAGTGTTCCCGCTTCTGTAAGCTCCTTCCTTTGTTCTTGTGGCTAGTTCGCTTCACAGGTGGAGCTGGTTCACATCCTAATGTGTAACCAAAGTAACAGGTCTCTGACAAAAGGGCTCTCTGCGGCCATTTAAGTTTAGGAAATGATGAGTTAAATAAAGTGCAGGGGTTTTTCTTGACTACGCAGTGTCTCTCAGTGACTACTTCTCAGAGCCTTTGGTGTACCTCATACCTTTCTAGAAGCAGGATTTAGTATGCAGGATTTCCACCCTTATTTGAACAAAACTCAAAATGATCAATACAACAGCCTGTGATGTCTGAGTAGAGAGGCTTCCATTTTACAGTGGAGTCTGAGTGGGGAGGATCCTGGGTAGGAGTTTCTTTTTCTTTGTAAGAATTATTTTATTTAACTATCTTTCTCTCTCTCTCTCTCTCTCTCTCTCTCTCTCTCTCTTTCTTTCTTTCTTTCTTTCTTTCTTTATCTTAATTTGACCAGAGAGAGACAGAGTGAGACTGAGAGAGAGCAAGCGAGAAGGAAAGTGAGAAAGCAAGCCGCCAGATCCGGAATTCTAACCATGGTCGCCCATGTGGGAGTCCAGTGTCCTTAACCACCACACCACCTGCCAGCCCTGAGAGTGTTTCTTAAGGTGACCAACCATATGGAATGTTTCTCTGTTGAGCATCTTGCCGGGTCTTCTTGGAACCCATGTTGAGGAAACCTAAAGGTGCGGGGAATACTACAAGCTGGGTTCAAGTCTGGGCTCTGTCCCTGCTCCCTGTGAGTGCCTAGACCACACCATGTGTGCCACACACTCTGTATCTGGCCCTTCTCTGTTTTCCTACCCTGCCATCACCTCAGAATCTACCATCTGCTTGTGTCTGTTCCAGGCAGGCCACGTGTGAATTCCTGTCTTCTGGTATGGTTTCAGAAGGTGTGAACAAATTAGTAGGGTGACAGCCCAGGTGCTTCTTGGGTTCCCGAAAATGAGGTTATGTTTAGCAGTGTCTTCAAACCGAAGCTGGGGTAGAGTGGGCTGCAGATGTGCACGGCCCTCTGAGTCTGAAGTGAGAAGAGCCTGGTGATGGATCTTCCTTTCCTGTTTTTAACAAGTTCACTGTGCAGCAAGGCCTGCCAGAGACTTTGCCCAGGGCTGGGGAGTTGAGTAGTCCAGCTTTTCTGAGCCAAGGGTTTTCTTACTAGCTTAGTGCTCTTGTCCTGATCCATGTTCTTCCTGGCCAGGAACTTTGGAGTTATCCCTGACTCTCTCTCCCTTCCTCATCCCCTCTAACTTTATCCCTTATTTTATATTATTTTTTTTAAGAGGTTTTTGCCTTAGGTTGTGTGCACTTGCTGGAGAGAGAGAGAAAGTGAGAGGGAAAGTGAGAAATCACCCCCTGGGGGGATGGCCATGCTGCAGTCTCTTCTCCTCCATTCTCCTCTTGGGATTTTGAGCATGTATGCTCACACGCCCAGCAAGTTTCAAGCCACCGGATCTGAGACTTGAACTGCGATCGGCCATGTGGGAATCCAATGATGTAACCACTACGCCATCTGCTGGCCTCCAAGCATTCTTCTTTGATGAGCTTTCTGTTTCTTTCTCCTCAGTCTTCCCTGGGTCTCTCTGTCTCCGTCTCTTCTTGTCTTTGGTTCACCTGTACATCAAGTCCCTCCTGAGATGTGGTTACTCATGTCACTCCTTGCTACCTCTTGATTTGAAGCTGATTTCCTACACTGATTTTCTCAGTTTGGGCACCCATGTGCATACACACAGACACACATACAGCCTTTCCCCAATTAGGCTAAATTCAAAGAGATGCCGTCAGTCATTTGCCTAAGGCCACACAGCCAGGAGGTGGCAGAACTAGGTCTCCATCTCAGAACTTTGAGAAGGTGCTTTCTCATCCAAGATCACTGATTTTTACAACAGCCTGACAGCAAGTCTGAGCAGAAATTACCCCACTGGACAGTGGAGTCTGAGTGGGGAGGAGGGTCCTGGGCACATGAGCGCTTTATAAGGTGACCAGCCATCTGGGTTTGCCCAGCACTGAGGGGTTTCCTGGGGAGGTTGGTCACTCTAGTGTTGGACATGGTACCCAAAGTGGGACTTGAACACCCTTTCCTCAGCCACACTGCCTCCCCGGGGAAGATGCTCCCCTGCAGCTTCAGCCTGCAGAGCAGCACATCTATGGTTTGCTCACTTCTCCCTCCCTCCACCCCTTCAGTCGGACCCATGGTGATCGAGTTTAACATGCCTGTGGACCTGGACCTGGTGGCAGCAACGAACCCAGCGGTGAAGACAGGTGGCCGCCACACCCCCAAGGACTGCATCTCTCCCCACAAGGTGGCCATCATCATTCCATTCCGCAACCGGCAGGAGCACCTCAAGTATTGGCTGTATTACCTGCACCCAGTCTTGCAGCGTCAACAACTGGACTACGGCATCTATGTTATCAACCAGGTGAGCTCTGGGAAGATGGGGTGAGGGACGGAGTGTGAGCATGTGTGTGTGTGTATATATGTATGCATGTGTGTACATGCATGCAAATGTTATCAACCAGGGGAGATCTGGGAAGATAGGGTGAGGGAGGGAGTATGCAGGCCCGTGTGTGTGTGTGTGTGTGTGTGTGTGTGTGTGTGCGTTCATCTATGCAAATGTTATCAGCCAGGGGAGATCTGGGAAGATGGGGTGAGGGAGGGAGTGTGCATGCACATGTGTGTGTATATGTGTGTACATCCATGAAATGTTATCAATCAGGGGAGATCTGGGAAGATGGGGTGAAGGAGGGAGTGTGCACACACCTATGTGTATGTGCATGCCCAAATGTATGTATAATAAAGGACATGGGAAGGGGAGTGATTTCGTAGATACCTGGCATTTGACAGTGAACAGCCACCCGCCCTTATGTTAAGTAACACACGTGAGCCAAATACCGTGTACTTAACCCATTGCTGTCAACTCTGTTAGCCAAGGGAAATTGCTGACCTGTTTCTTTCTGTTGGTTTTGTTTTATTTTGTTCTTATTTTTTTGGAAGTTGCCTTGCAGCAAAGTTAAGCCAAAAAAAGACAACCCTAATTATCCCAAAACACTGATTATTTCCTGTCTTTGGGCAGCTGTGTATTTTCTTTATTCCTTTTGAAAAACAAAGCCATCATTTACACGTCAGACTTTTAGGCAACTTCAGAGTTTATCCAGTCAGACTATGTCTTCTGGGGCACCGCCAGAGACAGCGCACTTGGTTCAGACTGCGTGCCTGCCTGCCAGCATGCCATCACGGGGGGAAGTGCTAAGGATACCTGACTTGTGGCCCATCTGAGAGGTGCTAGGCCTGAGCTGGGCTGAGAAAAGCTTCTCACTGCACGTCTGGTCCGTGAGTGTGTGGGCTTTGGTCCTGCTTAGGAAACTGATGCTACAGGCACGCCAGCCCTCATCATTACAGCCTCGAGAGTCAAATGGAAATAGGAGACATGTTATCAAGATAATTCTATTTCTAGTCTGTTCGAGAAGCATTATTATTTTTCTGAGAATGTAACTTTTGTTTTTCAAGTTTAGCCCAGATACTTAAATTCATGCCTTTAGATGATAACTTCTAGGTAAACTGATACATCTGATTTATCTGTGTATCCAATTTCATTGAAATTCACATGAAGAGATCATCGTGTCCATTTTTTACAAGGCCCAATTTCCAGAGTTTTCTTTATTTTAGAGAGAGATTTTTGCTCTAGAGTGCTTGTGCTCACTGGAGAGAGAGAGAGACAGACAGAGAGAAATCATCTCCCCCAGGGGGGGTGACCATGCTGCAATCCCTTCTCCTCCATTCTCTTCTTGGGATTTTGGGCATGCATGGACATGTGCCCGGTATTAGTTTTAAGTCTCTGGGTCTGGGACTTGAACCACAGTCAACTATGTGGGAGTCCAGCAACATAACTATTATGCCATCTGTCAGTCCTATGCACAGAGTTTTCCTAGCCTGCTTCAGGTGCTAAAGGTTGTGGGCAGTTTACAACTTCCATCAAAGCTGAGGGACTTCATGTGCTTTCCCTTGGATCAGCAGGGAAGCTGGATATGGCAGTCTGTCCATCAAACTATCTATCTATCTATCTATCTATCTATCTATCTATCTATCTATCTATCTATCTATCTATTTATTTTGAGAGGTTTTTGCTATAGGGCACGTACGCTCTCCAGAAAGAGAGACCGAAAGCGAGAAATCACCCCCCAAGGGGGATGGCCATGCTGCAGTCCCTTCTCCTTTCTCCTCTTGGGGGATCTTGGGCACGCACACACATGTGCCTAGTGTGAGTTTAAGCCACCAGGTCCGGGACTTGAGCCATGGTCGACTACATGGGAGTCCAGCGACATAGCCATTACGCCATCTGCTGGTCCCCCCATCAAACATTTCTAATGACTGTGGTGGCAGAGTACTGCCTCAGTGCTGCAGGGAGATCCCAAAGACGTGTATATTCTCAGTCCTGCCTGTTCCAAAGCTTCCAACCTGCTTAGGGCAAATGTGACTCTCCCAGGGAACACTTTGCTAGCTATCCCAAGTAGCATATTATTGCTTGGCGGCTGCCAAGACTTTGAAGCTAAAAGGGACAGAGAACAATGGCCTGGAAGAACCAGAATGTTAACTAGGTTCTAAAGGCTAGGAGAAGAGAGAGGCATTTCAGCCACAGTCAGAGAACAAGAACCTTGAAGCAGAAAGGAACTGTGCATGTTGCTGGAGATCAGTGGGGTAGGATAGCACCAGGAACCCAGGAACCAGGTGATGGGAGTGAAGCCAGTCAGGAGGGGAAGGGCAGGGCAAGCTCTGCTATGACTGAAGATCAAGGTGAGAGAGCAGGTAGCAAGCAAATCCTTCAAGGTCAAGTGTGTACCTCAGCCAAAAGGCAATATAGACTAGGGTTCAATGAAAACCTGCAAGTAAGACAGCCTGCAGTTGTAGATCATCTCACAAAAAATTGGAGAATGTAAGAGAGAACAGATGAATGACATGCAAAATACAGGTTACTTTGTTCCAACTACTTGTTTAAGAAAAGCCCTGTCTTCCAGTAGCACTTCCTTGTCTGATGCCGGTAAGCACATGTTGATCGTGGCAGAATTCAAGAGCCCATTATTGGGACCAGCAGTTAGTGTAATGGCTATGTCACTGAATTCCCATGCAGCTGACCACGGTTCAAGTCCTGGACCCGGTGGCTTAAACTCACGCTGGGCACGTGTGCGTGTGTGCCCAAGATCCCGAAAGGGGAATGGAGGAGAAGGGATTGTGGCGTAGCCATTCCCCCTGGGGGATGATTTTTCACTTTCTATCTCTGTGTCTCTCTGTCTTTCTGAGGAGCACACGCATCCTATGGCAAAAACCTTTCAAAAAAAAAAAGAAAAAAAAAAGCCCATTATTAAAGCCATGTGACAGTGAGCACCTAAAAGAGGAAGCCACATCACCAGAAAGGGATTTCTAAAAGCAAGCCATGCTGCTGTGTCTGGTTTCTGTTTTGACAGTTATTATAGCAGGAGGTGAGTGAAACACTGTAGATACAATGTTGTCAGATCTTATTCAGGAAAGTATCTGATGGCCTCCCACAAATCTGCCTGAGCAGAAGAGACACAATTGTGCCTGGGATGGCATCTAGTTAGATTAAAATGTATATACTTGGGTAAAGAGAGTCAAAGGCAGTCAAGTGGACAATGCCAAGTTTTTGAATTTAGGTGGCTATGTTCAAGGAAAACCGGTGGCAAGATGCTGTGTCTCGGTACATTTTAGATGAACGTGAGACTTCTTGTCTAAGTATGAAGTCAAGACAAATATTGAACCAGTGGAACTTAACCACCAGCTTAAGTTCCCTCAATACTGTTTATACAGAGAGTCCTGAGGCTTCCGCTACAGATTTAGGAGTGTCCCACACCAGCCATGTGCTCCTGCCTGCCCCAGTTGCAGTTGGCAGAACAACGGGACCAGCTTGGACCAGTAGCACCAATGCACTGCCTGACGCTGGACGCTGCTTGTGACAGTACTCTGCACAAAGCATGCTCTCCAAAATGGAATGCCTTGTTAAACCATGTGGAGCAGACTCATCTCTGCAGAGCCGTTAGTACGCAGTGTGACTGTCCCCTCCAGAAATGCTGCCCCAACCATCGAGCCAGAGAACTGTCTGCCCAAGAATGATAAGTGATGAGAGTTTTGAGAGTCGCACATAGGGGAAGACAGGCCTAAATTTGCACCTCCTCCCCATGCTCTGCTTATTTGCTCTAGGAGACCACGAGCTCCTTTCTCTCCTCTCTTTTCCCATTTGTAATTTAACATCAGAAATATTTCATTTTTAATTTTTTAAACATATGTAAGCTTTTTTTTTTTTTTGGTATTCTTACCAGTATCATTTTTATTTTCTCCTCACACAATGTTTCGTACCTCTTTATTTTTTAATTTCTCTTCCAAGGGCTAGCTTTTTCACCTTAGAAGAATCTCTTTTCTCCTTCCCAGCTAATCTGCTGTCTTTTATTCCAACTCTACCCTGATTATCCTTTAGAGAAAATATGGCAAGAAATCAGATAATCAAGTCAAGAAGAAACTGAGAGGCCACACTGCCTTTCTAGTAAAGAACGTTATCTACTGTGTAATAATGTCACCGGAAATCTGAACCGTGGAGAGGAAGAGGTGGAAAGAAAAACATTTGGAGTACGCCCCATCTACAAATTAGGAATTTCCTCTGTTCCCTGTTTTATAGTTATATAGTTATAGTCTAGAAGAGGAAGAAAGGGATTTTGTAGCACCTGGCCTTGACCTTTGAGTAAATAAACTTTATGTAAATAAACTTTATGGGCATTAGAGCCTCTCAACTTCCCTGTTCCAGACACCTCGCTGTCATTTTGACTCTTCATGCACAGACACACAGCCCTGCCACCACCCGTCTAAGACAGGAGAAAAAGAATACTTCAGATAAGAGGGGCCTCTGAGATACCTAGTGTAGGGGCTCCCAAACAGGTTTTTTAGTATGAAACTTTGTTGGGAACCAGCAGTTAGCGTAATGGCTATGTTGCTGGACTCCCACGTAGTCGACCGCAGTTCGTGTCCCGGACCCGGTGGCTTAAAACTCACGCTGGGCGCTTGTGCGTGCGTGCCCAAGATCCCGAGAGGAGAAGGGAGGAGAAGGGATTGTGGTGTGGCCATCCCCCCTGGGGGGTGATTTCTCGCTTTCTGTCTCTATGTCTCTCTCTGTCTGTCTGGCGAGCGCACGCGCCCTACAGTGAAAATCTCTCCCCCCCCCAAAAAAAAAAAGATATAGAAACTTTGTTCAGTCCCACGAAGTGCTACAACAGCGCCCCACCCAAACAGGTTTTTTAGTATGAAACTTTGTTCAGCCCCACAAAGTGCTACAACAGCGCCCCCCACACACTTAAGTGGCTGTGTTCCATCTCCACTTCCTTGGCTTCCACTTGAATCTTTGCCACAATTTGCTTGAGC